AAAAAAAAAAAAACACATCATAGTAAAATTAATACCTTCTCCGCTTCGCATCGAAGCTAAAAAATGTTGCCATAATTGTTTACTATGAAAAATCTGCCGACAAGCAAAAAAATTCGCTATAATTAAAAAAAATTATGTTATTATTAGTTTTTGAAAATTTTCCGGAACGTCTGCGTCAAAAATAAGAAAATATTTAAGAAGTGTTTAGTATATGAATAAGATTTTTAAACATAGAAATTGTAAAATTACAAGTATACAAATTATTGTAAAATTTAACAGATTGTTTTATTTAATTTCTGCAAAAAATGACTACACTAAATTATTAAATATCAACTTCATATTAAATTTAATTGCAATAACAAGTGTTTATTCTTGTATTGTACATATAAATCATAATACTTGTAAGGATATAATTAAGGAATTAGTAGTTGATTTGCTTTTGGAAAAACCCAACACTTCCTTCTACAAGTTAAGTATCTACAGATTTGTTTCGTAACTTATCAACAATCGAAATTTATGTTAGTGATGTTAATCAATATAAGATATTTATCATTCTTCCACCTATATCACGTTCCTACTGTGTGGCAACCCTACTGGTTTCTTCTTATTTATTTTTTTAATTTTAAAGTGATGACCAAAAAACGTCCCCTTTTCTTTTGACCAAATAAATATTAGTGACCTATTAATAACATGGACATTCTCACCAGAGAAAACACATGGGATAGAAACTCCTTTATGATGAATATAAATATATGTTGAACAGCGTTTTGCAGTGGAGTAAAATATTTATTATCCATTTCTCCCGTCCAAAACAAAATCCAGAGTACGCTATAGAAATGTTGCCAATTAACAAGGTTACTTTTGGTTAGATTACAGAGTATCTAGACCTAACTGACAATGCTTTTAATTCAATTATCATTTTTCCACATTTTTAAAATAATAATTGCCTCCTTAGACCACGTTTACAGCATATTTTAATATTATTTATCACTAATAAGAAAAAGTAAAATAAAAATTTAATTTTTTTCAACATTTTAAAATAAATATTCTTTAGCCATTTTCTTACAAACAATTTTAATAAGTCAACAACACTTTTGGGAAAAGTACTCATTTTGTTACTTACATTTTAATATATAGAGTGGGTATAGCTCGTACTATTGTATGTGTACTCCGCTTGCACTCTATACCAACTAAATATACATAAATGCTTGTAATTCAAAGAGTACTTGTACAAAAATCGTTATCGGCCAATCAAAATTTTTGTTATAAAATGGCTATTTTGAAACTTTTAAAAATATTATAATATTAAAATATTATAATTAATATTATTGATAACCTTATACCTTATAAGGTTATCAACTTTATTGTAT